GAGTTTCATCTTGGTGGCGGTGGTGGTGAGAGCTTCAGTGTTTACTCAGTGACAACCTCATGTTGTCTCCTAATTAGGTTCTCAGCTTGAGCACCGTGAAGAGAGACAAAAGGGGGAAAAAAAGGTGTTATTCACTTTACCTAATTTCTTTGTCATGCTTGCAGGCGAGCAGTTACGCTTGATGCACCATGCTTTAACGTGCCTCGAGGTGTAGCAGCACATAAATTGAACTGTCTTAGTGGGAATGGATTACTTTCACAACTGCTTTTTTTGGGATGGATGTGGCTTAAGGAACCTCTTATGACTTCCTTATGATTCATCTATCATTATGAAACTTAAAACCACTAGCTAAAGCCTAAAGTCAAACTGTGTTGAACTGAGATAATGCCACGAGTCACATTCAGACTTAAGATGCAGAAATTGCCAAGCAATGGCACATTGAATGAATTGATTTTTTTGTCCCGAAAATATCAGATTCATCATAAATCTTGAGTAACTTAATTCATCACTGAAACAAACCATTTCAGATTTTCCCCTTTTTGTCATACATTCATTAGAATTATGGGAAAATATCACAATTTTCCATGTACCCACATGAGCTTGATGTGTTTGTCCAATTAACAGCTGCTACCTGTTAATTGGACTAATAGCCTTTAAAAGTTAGATTTTTCTTTTCTTGTTTTTTTAATTAAAAGCTAAACTTGGACAAAGAATTATACAAAGCAATTTACTTCTGTTTTGGACTAATTAAAGAAAAGCTTTTGGAAAAATCTATTAAGATTGAACCAGTTCTACAGTTAGCATTAGTCAGAGTTAAATCTAATCGGCTGTGCAGTTATTCCACTTCACCTTCTGTTCAGGTAAAATGAATGCAGAATTTGTATTTATTCACATGAAAACAGCCTCTCAGAGGACTTTGACATTGTTTTTAATCTTCTGTCTTGATATCTTGCTTATGATGTGATGATTAAATCGATTTCTGTCAGTTTGAGTTTAAGTTCTATTGTTTTGTGTGCTTTTTTTGTGCCTGGGGCTTGCTTTTTTTGTGTTGATTTAATGGAGATGCAAATCTGAACCGTTACCCCATTTGCACTGAAACAATGTGTTAGTTGTTCCTGGAAAAAAAACATCAGATTCAAATACAAAAATCAACAAAACCCTTTTTAATAAAAATTGTGCCCGCCGGCCTGTATTAATTTCAAATGCACTTTGCTGGATCTTCAAATACTGTATTAATATGAATGGAGGTTTTATACAAAGCTTGAGTGATTTATTCAATCTGTATTTGGAAGTAAAAGTCTGATTGACAAAACCTTTGTCAGCATTACTTGTCTTCGCTCACTGTACCTCCTTCCTGTCTTGCTGAGTGTGACTATCACAGGTGATAAATAGACACTCCGTTCCTAATCACTGCCATCGTAGTGCTATTACCGAATGGGCCACTCATTTCAGGGTTGGCAAGACAGCTCAGTTCAGCTGGCCTGCCAGAGGCGTCGGTGCTTTGTCTCAAGAAATGTCACCTCTTCAGGGATGAAGCCAGCACCTTGGTTGTACTACAGCCCTGCTGCTGTTACCTGATTTATAGTTGTTGCATGTTAAGAGAATAGTTTGTCATTTTGGGAAATATGCTTATTTGCTTTCCTGCCGAGAGTTACATAAGAAGATTGATAACACTTTCCTGTCTATGCGGTAAAAATATAGCAGCTGGTTAGCTTAGCTTAGTGTAAAGATAAATCATTACATTATAACATCATACATCAGTAATATGTGTTTGTGCACACACACACACACGCACACACAAATACTACAGTGAGCATATATATATATATACATATATATATATATACCACTGAACAGGTGCCAATGACTCCCCATCTCTATGCTATTCTTCAGAGTGGAGCTAATTGCCCTCTGTGGCACCCAATTACAGTTTCCTTATCATCCACTCTTGAGATAGCAATTTCCTTCTCAATGGGTCTTTAAGTCAATGAGTAGCAGTCTGCTTCAACCTTCAGCTAGCATAAGAGTCAGTAATTATGGTGACATATTGAGACACATGCAGTTTTATCTCTTATTCCATATTTAATTTAGAAAAGAAGGAGACCAAATACATGTAATGTTTGCAAACATAAACAACAACTTAGTACAATTACTCTCCTCATAGTTGTACATAATATTAAAAAAAATATTAGTTATTTCTGCAAACAAAAATCAAAAATGTTATGTTTGAAGTAAGTGAGGGGCTCTCAATAAATACAGGGGTCTTGTGTAATTATATAAAATCATACAGAAGGAGAGGAAACCCTAGCAGTTTTTGTTCTTTTTGTGTATTTTCATATACTGTTGAGAAACTATCCAGAAAAACAGTTTTGCATGGATATAAATCACTGAGAGAGTGGACTGAAATTACCTGTACTTTAGCACCTCACGTGATAAATTCAGCATAATTTACATTTCCACAGCACTACTGCCATCATTAAAGCACCAGAGTCATGTCATAAGTCAAGTTTCCATCCAAATGTAGTCCAAATTTCAACCGACTTTCAAGAAAACCAGCAAAAGAGAAAATTAGAATTAATGCATTTCTCCATCCACTACAGTTATGTGAATATAAGGAGTTGGGCACATCAACATAAACAATTAGTAGTGCTAATTTTTAAAAGATGAAGGCACAATAAGATGACATAATTAAAGTAGCACCCGTCAAACCTCAAATAAACAGAAAAATGTAATGTTGATATGACATTTATGTTTGTTTAATGTATGTGTAATGTAGTCAATGCACTTCCCCACCTTAGCCAAGCATAAACAATTCATGATATTAAGAAATATTCCAGTTTTTTCATGTACAAATTGAAAATACACATAAAAACAGGGGGATTTAAATGCACTTATACTCACCAATGTACTGCTTTGAGTTGCTCTTTTTAAGAGAAATACTGATTTTATTCATTTCCAATCGCTTCTACTTGCCATTTCTTTCTATCATTATTAAGCTACTGTCACAGAACAGTATTCAATTCAAAACTCTTAATGACAGAAAGAAGAGGGGCAACAGATGACATTTTAAAAACATACAGCAGAGGAGTTTGAATAAAATTCTACTCAAGCCAGTAAACGTACTCTCCATTAATCGATATTGCCCTTCAGCTGTAAGAGACAAAAGAGGAAACAAAACACTGGGGAACATGATTACACAGCTTTGACTTTCTGGCCTGATTGTTAGAGACCGGCCTGGCTGTAGTCATGGATTTCTTTGAAGAGGGATTCTCCATTATTACAGACGTACAAAGAGAGGAAGGGGAGCTTCGAGAGACTGCCTCATAAGTGCAAGTTGACCACTTTTATTCTCACAGTGGCTAATGTATCCATCGGAAGCTAGACAACATTTCACTGAATGCCTTTGAGAAAGATGCTAAACTCAAAATAACAGTTAAAGTAAAACAAAACCCAATCAAAGTGTAAAATGAGAGCAATTATCAGTGACGACTTATTTTGATTATAAGGCATATGTTTCTTGCCATCCGTCTGAGCTATACCTGCCAGTGATACTAATGCTTTGATGTTGGCAATTAATGTTGAGGCTGAACTTGCGCTACTTTATTGGCTTGTTATCATTCTTGTATTGCATTGTCACAGACTTATGAATACACCACCATTTCCTAATGAGTAATAATAATGTTAATCAATCAGTAAATCAGCAGAGGTTTTGTTGCTCTGTCACATCATCTCCTAGCAACCACATCTGCTGTTGTCCTGGGGATTCATTGCAGAATTGCCTTTCTGTAACAAATGCCAACATACTGTAAAGTAAAAGTCTAATGGGGTTATTTGTTTCTTCCCAAATTTAGCTTGCTTTAACAAAAAAATAAGTCTGCTGGTATTTAACTATATTTTTAATTACTGTCGACACATCCCATGAGAAGCCAAAGCTCGGTTAAGTGTATTCCTCCATTAAAGTCCTCCATTACTGCTGTAAATACTCACTAGAGCGCCAAACTTGTGACTGAAGTCCCCCAAAAATGCTGTATTTATTTACTCCTGTTTGCTGTTAAATTGTCATGCTGTTAAAGGTCCAGTGTGTAACATTTAGGAGGATCTTTGGCAGAAAAAAAATATATTTTTCATAGGTATGTTTTTATTAGTGTATAATCACCTGAAAATAAGAATTGTGTTTTCGTTACTGTAGAATAAGCCATTTTTATCTTCGGAGGGTAGAGTTCCTCTTCCACAGAGTCCACCATGTTGAACCACCATGTTTCTATAGTAGCGGACAAACCAAACACTGGCTCTAGATAGGGGCTCTTGCCTTTTTTTGCTGAGTTGTATTTAATTGGTTGAAATTTGCAACTTCACCGCTAGATCCTAGACTTTTTTTTAATGACATTGCACAGTGTGAGAGTCACTGACTGACCTTGTAAATCAGAAAGTATGGATAGGCAGACTAATGCATTGTTGGTTTTATCCTGCCATGAGATTGGTTGACGGTAAGAAAATTACAGAATATTGGCAACCTTATGCTTTAACTAATGCAAGCATACAGAATATGACGATGGCTGCAGAATAAGAAATGACTGAAAAAGATTGTAATTAAGTAGTTGGTCTCTCATTTGAAGTACACAATATCTGTTTGGTACTGTACGGCATACTACCCATTAGTAACACCAGTTTTTACTCAGACAGGATTGGCTACCAGTATAAAAGCACAGTGACTGCCGAATTCAGACAAGAGAGCTGATACCTTTCATTATCATACCCCTGATTCACAAAGACTTCACAGCTTACAGTGTGTGAAATTAAATACAGTATTTATCTACGTATCTGGGGTCTCAAATGGCGATTAATCTACCAGTTATTAAATATATTAAGACAATGACTACTATGACGACTACAGTGTATTATTATTTCCATAAACACCACTGTGCTGCTTTAACGCTGACTGAGGCCTTCGTTGAATATGACATTTGACAATTTGATCTCTCTCTCTCTTGGTTCAACAGAACGGCGAGGCATCACTCTTCGAGGTGAACATCCGTTACGTTGGCGGTTTGCTGTCGGCGTACTACCTGACAGGAGAGGAGGTAAGATTAATAGATGTCTGTTATCCCTCTACTCTAGTGAGATCTGCTGCTTCCTTTATCCCTAAACAGCCCTGCAGTTTGAATGATGAACAGGCTGCCTCTGAGCTCGACTGCATTTGTGTGTGTCAGTGTGTGTGTCAGCATAGTCCCCACATTTCAGGTCACAGGTTTTCCAACCAAAACCATGTCACTTGCTCACACAGTATACATCAGGCTCATTGTTTAATTATTTTGACCCTTTTAGATTCTGCTTTAACAACCCAGTAACTTCCTGGGTAATTAATATAATATTTTATCTTGATTCTAGGATGTATATAGTGCTGTACAGTTTCACTAGAACAGTTACCAGTTTCTATCTCCCTTGATCTTTTGACCTATAAATACACAGAATGGAAAAACTAACCAAAACAAATAAATCAAGTAACAACCTTGCTGAGCTACATTGTGTTACGTGCTCTGCTAAAGGTGGATGAAAGTTTACGCTGTTCAGAAAACAGAGAATACAACCCGCTGCTTAAATCAATTCACTTTTTGGTTCTGGGTTTATTTTAGATGAACAACTACAGTGCAACCACAGTAAGAAATACTGTGCGATCCTTTACTGCTCTGATTCGGGTCTCTGACAGACTTCTTCTCCATAGCACTGTTGGCTGTGGTGCATGATTTCTTTCTTACAGAAATTAAGTTGAAATAATTCAAACTTGTGGTCATAACACAAACTCATAGGGCAGTTAAGTTATCTGTGAGGGTCCTGTGTTTCTATCATAAGTAACATTAAGGCTATTGTTTAAAGAAAAACTTGAAAATTGGTATACATAATTGGGAAAAGCACTTTGCAACTCTATATGTGTCTAAAAGGGAAGGGGGAGAGGTGTCAATTATTATAAAGTATGGCATGTAAGTAATTTAGGAGAGTACAGCGTTGGTTAGGTAACCTTATTCCATTTATGCCAAGGATCCCACATCTTTATAAATTAAGAGAATCTTGAAAATAATCAACCCTAAGTATACACTGGGTCATATGTCATTGCATTATTGTTGCAGTATGCAAGTATTAAGGTATCGATACTCCGCAGCTAGGGAAGAATGATCAGAACCGGTTGGCTATATGCTCAAATATCTGAGGAAAAGTAAACGAGAATTGCTTGTCTCTGCTTGAACCACTACCACAGTTCTGTCCTTGAAGAAGCCGCAGTCACTCCAGTGAAGCTGCTGTAAGGCCTGTGGTTACGATGGACAGCTACCAGGTGTGAAGCTGTGAAACTTTATGAGTGTGAAGCACGGCCTTGCCAGAAAAGAAGTATGAGTGGTCTGTAAACCTTGGCTGGTTAAATAAAGGTTTAAAAATTGCCCGTGACAACCACACAGCGCAAATGGTCCAGTTCATTATCGGTGCATTGTGAAGTCACTAGAGGTCAACGTGTCACCGTAATGAGCAGCTGCCTGTAGCAGCCTCCTGGAGCATACACTCACACTACACTGCGGTTGTACTGTTTTGAACAGCACTCTATGCAAGAGGCTAAAATCTGTGCAGAAGCAGCATTAATGGAGAGAGGATCCAGTAACGTATGAACACTCAAGTCGGTTTAATGGACATTGATTTGCAGGCCGAGCGAGTTGAGGGGAGAGCAGCATAAAATTGTCCACCACTGCTGGATGAATGAAATATGAACACATTGCCGAAGCAGAATATATTGTTGAATCCATTATTCCACATTTGCGTGCCATTAATGCCATGCAGAAAATTCTCCATTACTCCCTGGTCCATGGAAATGTCTATATATGGCATCAATAATGACATTTTCTAATAGTAGTCTGTGCGTGCTGCGAATGTGCAAAGAAAGAAGTGTATTATCCACGAAGTTTGCTCTTATCTCACTGTGTCACACAAGGGCATAAGTGCCAACTAGTCTGGGTGACGAAAAGCTGTAAAAAGAAAGAGACACCATACAACAGCCACCTCTTAAAAACTTTTTATGTTTTAGTGTGCAGAAATAATACATAGATTACTTTTATTTCCAATGCGGTTCGTGTTCATACTGATTTATTAAGGGGAGAAAACAGAAAATGACAGAATGCTTTTGGTGACTGTCATCCTGCAGAATCACAGACAGGAAAATACAATTTCAGAGTCTGACAATAAGTTATTAAGAACTTTCCAATGCCTAATGTTACAGTGTATATTTATCTTCTTTGGTGTTCAGAAAGAGCATTGTCAATTGTGACTGGAGGTGAACTTTATATGCCATAAATAGTGACAAACCGGTAGAAAAAGATACTTTTTGTACTGTTATATCACAGGGATAGTTTTTTTTATTGAGGAACAGCTAAAATAAACATTTAAACTGACCTCCGGATGACATGTATACATGTTAACATGGTTGATTTTGCCTAAATAGCTATACATTGCTTATTACAGATTGGGAGGCATCTTTCGCAACAGTTTATGATTATAAAAAGGATTTTTTAGTAGTTTATTTATTTAATTTATATCAGATTGACAGCTTTCATACCAGCCTAAACGAACCAAACCAAACATGGATATGCACCAGTTTCTTTTTTCCCCTAATGTCTTCCTCTCTCCGCAGTGAAGACAATATTGTCTTTGTGATTAGTGTTTCCATCCAGCTCTGTTGCTCACTATGTTTTTTTCAGACGTCTGCAGTCCATTGCCGACATTCTTTTCTTTGGTTTGGACTTTCTTACCATTTATAGTACACAATCTTTCTTATGAGATGGAGCACGCATTCCCAGTTTCCTGACGGACGTATCAATACCCTTTGCCCCGGCGCAGTTATCCATCACATGGCTCAGTTGTGTGCTTTCTGTGAAGGGTCCCTGAGAAGCAAGATTTATAGCTACCTGATCCCCCTCCCCTCGATTCCCCCATTAGGATCTTTTCCTAGGAGTCTGCTGTTCCATCCGAATGATAAAACCGACAGATTGAAGGTCTGTCACTGCTGCAGAGGCTTAAATCACCCCAGATACAGTGTGGGAGACTATTACCAGATTGTGGATCCAGTTTGACCAGAGGATATTGGGCAGCTGGTGCCGCTGTAAATGATTGCTTGGGAGCGGGTGATGATTATGGCTCCTTGCGGGATGCAGTTTGCTGGTAAAGTGCTTGGAGCAGAACAGGAGAAATACCTGACCATTAATAACCTCCTGTTGTTCTGACCGCATGTGTTTATGTGTACTGTTTTTATGTGTGTTTTCTTGGAGCCCCAGAAGGATCATGGTTAGTCTTTGTGGAAGCAGTCCCCAGGTTAAATGTCGTGTTCAAGTGCGTCCAGCCACTGTCACTCTTGCTCCTTTCACTGCTGTTTCATCATTCACCGTTACACACTCCTGGCCAGGCCCAATGGCTTAAGCTCAAGTGGCAATTTTTGTACTTCGGGCTTTAGATCTGTGTCCTCCTTTGATGATAAACCTACTTGTATGGCCATTTCTCTGTACCTTAGGGCTGCATTACCCATTTCTCTGTTGCTTTTTTTTGTTTACTATTTGTTTGATTGTTTAGTCCAGGGGTCAGCAACCTATACAATCGAAAAAGCCATTTCTGGCCTAAAAAATAAAAAGACGACTGCCTGAAATCATTTTTAGCCCTATAATGCTAATTTCTTGAGATCAAGCACACCAGTAAGCCAGCAGTGTCCCAGTCTGGCCATGTGCCAAATTCTCTATTTTCTGCCGAGAATTTTGGAATCCATACCTTGCCTAGGTAGGAAGACTGAAGATTTGTAACCACTGGACATAATGTATGATGCACGTTTTAGTTGACAAAATGTTTTTTTGAATGTATTTGGTGTGTAATGGCATATGACACATTTTTACCACTGGAGAATCACTTTAGGCCTGCAACAATGATGAATGAAAATATGGAAATGAATAATCATTTTATTTAAAGCTAAAGAGAGCCACTGGAGAGGGGCTAAAGAGCTTTTTTGTGGCTCTGGAGCTGCAGGTTTCGTACCCCTGGTTTAGTCCAAAAAAAGTCATAAAATAGTAAAAAATGCTAATGCTAATGCTTATCAACATTTCCATCCAACAGGGCAGCAGTTGGTCCCAGTTGAACATTCTGTTGCTAGTAGCAACCACCATTGTTTTGTAACAGTTGCTTTCAGACAGTGAGCTTAAAATAAAGGAAATGGATAGCAATATGATACGATTAGGATACAACTAATATAGAAGTTGTACTGAACTGCTAACTAGTATCACAATGTTTATTTCCCCAGACTTCATTGGTCGGTCTGTTCTCTGCAGGTGGAGGTGTGGAATCCAAGAAATCAGATTCAGTAAAATTATTTCCTGTGTTGTTTCCCTTTCTGTAGTTTCTGTGGTTGTCATGGTCACATGGTAAGCCACAGTGGTAAGTGGTAAAGCCATCAAAAACTCATTTAACGTACTTGCACAAGTTGCCCTCCTTCTCCTCGCCGCTGCTGCCACATTCATTGTGTCTGTCTGCAAACCATTCCCCTTGTGTGGAGCAGTTTATACTCTCACAGAGGAGGTTAGATAAAACTCGCTTGTCAAAGTTGACCAAAGTTAAACCCCCACCCCCATTTATTGTCCAATACTTTTTTCATATTTTCAGAATTGCTTTGAGTAAAAACTTCATCTGCAGGCTTCTACCTTTATTAGAAGTGTGTTTAGCTTGCAGTTGTGCACCTACATGCACAGTGAGGGCAGAGGTGGGATGCCTCGCTTGTATTGTCTGACCAACAGTCCAGAACCCCTAAATATACAATGCAAAATCATATAAAACGCAGAAAATCGGCAAAAAGTTTTCCTCAAACATCTTCCCATCTCCATTTAAGCTCCTGTGTGTTTATCATTGGAACATCTTTTATATTTGATGTAATTTGTGTGCAGTTCTGCGTTTTTTTTTCTCCACAGCATGTGTGTCTTTTCAGGTGCTTGTGCATATTCTATTTGCCCCTCTTTTTATCTCCATATAAGAACATGCGTGTTTGTATGTCAGCTCGACCTCAATTTCTCTG